CTATAATAATTATTTACTGTCCATGTTATACAGTGGCTGATCTTGTCCTCAACTCAGAGGGTAAGTAGCTCCTGGACTTCACCGTCTCCCCAACTTGCAGACATTTTTGGCTGCTGTTCTTCTTCGAGTTAGCTGCTAACTGCTATTAGCTGCTTTTTAAATTCCCCAGCAGTGGGTCACACATATAACATGTCATCAAAACGTCACAGGCATCTCATCCTGCCACTTGCCTCTTTTATACCGACATCGATTTGGCGCTGTTACTACCTCCACTGCCATCTTCAAGGCAAGATAACTCTGTCCCCCATTTAGTGATCGTACTTTTTATAAAGAAAGGCGAGGCAGAATAATAGCGTGACATTCCAGCCTTGAACAGGCAGTGTAAGAGGGGCTGCAGCCCAAGAAAAAATAATTTAATTCACTGTGATGCTCGCAGGCTACCACCAGCAGGTAAAGGCAGCTTTTGTTGTTGTTTTGCATTTAGTGGAAGAGCATTGTTGCGGTGCACTCTGGCAGCACTACAATGCTACAGAGGGAAAAGATGAATAGAGACTCCGTCCATGGACACTACAGACACTGAGCTGCCAAGATATTTTGAAATGGTAGATGGCGATACAGGCCACCAATGCAATGGCTAGAGCCAGCAAAACAGCAAGGTCATGCACATGAGATCAAATACAAGACTAGACAATAGCTAACTAATATGAACACACCAGCAACTGGACAGGGGTATGAATTACGTGAAGTTATAATGGATCATCTTCACTGCTCTAATCTTGCAAAATAATGGATGGCCTTCAGATTTTCTGTCACTATTCTGTCAAGTATTCGGTTATCACAACCTCTGCTCTGTATTTTGTTCTTGATGCTGTAAGTTTTAAACTCATTTATGTTTTAAAATTCCACTTCCCATGCAACAAGAGGATCAGTTTAGGAGGTCACATCTGAATACAGTCACGAAAATGAAACATTCCTTGTATAATTCAAAAGTTAACCCAAAAGAGTCTACCAAGTGAACATTTGTTGCCAGAATTTGAGTTATTGGAAATCAACACACTGGCTCCAAGTCAGAAACTACTGCAGTGAACACCACTTTTGAAAAATAAAGTAAAACCACATGAGAAAGAGAAAAGAAAAACTACCCCAAGCCGAATCCTTGCTGCAGCTGGAAATTCAGAGTACCCTGCCAGCCACTTGGGCAAGCAACCAAACATCATCTGAAGGGCACATACTCCTCTAAAACACTAGCTGGCAGGTAAAATAGCAAAAAGGACAATGGGTTTTATAATTTACCACCCCTGCTGGAACAATGTATTTGTGACATGGCCTGCACAATGTACTACAGAGAACTTCAAATGTGGGTACAAAAACAGTCCTTTTGCAGTTACATGCTGTTTAACATGATAAAGGTCAACATGACGTGTCAAAGCAGACGTTTGATGTTTTTAATCCATTTTTTGGAGGGGGAATAGAAGGTGCCTTTTGATTTTCAGAATGGAAAAGAAACCTGCAGCTGAACAGAGGAATTCTACCACTGCGGGTTAGACTTTTTAAAAGCAATCATGGTGATGGGACAAAGCTAAAATTGCAGTGATGTTATCCTTTAAAAGCTCCATTTTAGGCTCACAAAAATCCAATCCTAACCCTTGATACATTCAGCCCCGTAGCCTGGCTTTAGACGAGAAATTTCAAGCAGCTCAAAAGTGGTGATGGATGTGTGAAAAGCCTCTTTTATGCAGCAGGTGAGGTACATTCACACCTCCGTTTGCTCTGAACAGAGGCCGATGTAAAATAGCTATGCCTCTGTTGAATCTACAAACCAGTGTGGATGGTTTCATGAGCCCTCTACACTGACTGCATCGCCTTGGTATTCTTTCCAAGTTGAGTAACTTGACAGTGTGTGTACTTGTGTGTGATGGGGTGAGGTGCACGTACATGCTGGTGCGCCTTTATTAGCAGAAGGGGGTCTTACGCATAGAGAAATACACACACACACACCAGACACAAACACAGCCCAACCTAGATTTACTTTGCAGTTGACAGGCCAATGAAGCGTGAAGACACAGAAATGATATCTAAGATCACACTAAATATGATAAATAAGTACACTTTGATGTTGGCCCAGGCCTTAAATATGATCTGTGGAGCTTTGATGCTGATTTATGGCTGTATCAGAGCGCAAAGGCAAAGCCACGGCCGTGCAACACTAACAATAACTGGCAAGGCAATAAGTGTTGAAACCAGGTTACTCGCGGTCACAGCACTAAACTCCATTATGAGCGGGTTGCAGTGCGAAAAGGTTGTGCTTGTACATTTTCTTCCACCTTCGGCTGTGTTTGAACATAACCTGACTCACTTCTCATCAGAGCAACAAAAAAAAACATACAAGCAAACAACACCATAGTGCACCCACTCAAAACATGGGTCACCATGGGGGGATGCCACAGTAAAGACATTTTCTTACTGGTTAATAAACCCGTAACAAAATTGGTGTTACCAATTACACGTGACAGTCATCAAAGTATTCATTGATGACGCTCAATATCTGTTACTGCTAATGCTTTTAACTGGCAATTATTATTAAGTAGTCACAGGAGATGCAAAGCGTTTATCAGTGAGATTAGCATTACTGCTACTGTTAATCAAAACTGCATCTACAAAACAACGGTCACTTTCTGCATTTGTTGACAGGAGATAAGTTTGAAATATTGCTGGGAGCCACGGAGAAGTCAGAAGCAGCCACACTGAGCTGTGAGATGAAGAGCTGCAGGCGACAGGCCGCACACCTCCAACTTCTTATGTAACCAACTCCTTTTCCCTCATTAACTTTTTCAGGCTCCCTATAGCTTGTTTGCAATCTGGTGACTTTTATGATGCACGAAATTCAGATGGAGGGCAGGAGGTGATAAATCTATACGCTGTGTGAACGGGAAATAGAGGAATGTGACTCTACATTAAAGGGTTGGATGAACACGCAGGCAGCAGGTATTGTCAGAAAATTGAAATTCATGTTGGACGTGATCCTTTAAAAATGGGGAAGAGTGATTTTTCCCACAGCTTAAATGGTTTACCCAGTGTGGACGTCACACGTCGTTACAAATTCCTCCAGACCTCCTGACATTACTGACATTACACAATGAGCCAAGGAAAGTGTACAAGACTCTAGTGGATGATCGACTGAAACAACTGAGTAAATGTGCTCGAGAGTAACTGTCTTTTAGAATTTGGCTCTCTACATGGAAGCACCGCTGTCAGGCTAACGTTACCAGCTAACATTAGCTAACTTCAGCTACTATTTTCTACCTACTCAGTCAACCGTTTCCAGAGGTCTGTTGAAATGTTAAAAATCCAGATCATGGCTAAAAAACAGAGAATTTGTCCCAGCACATTGTAACTGCAACAAACTCAAGGCGTGTTTAACACAACGCTTTAACGCTTACATTTGTAATTAGCTAACTTCGCTCCTCCAGACTGAGGGTGGAGATTTTTTTTATCCAAATCTGCTGCGGTTTCTCATGGGTATTTTTTAACTTCTCTAATTTATGCCATATTTTTTTTTTGGACTTAGAGTGGGCCTTGCTTTTTCCCAATTTAAGTTATAGGAACAGCCGTAAACAGCACAAATCATAGACATTTGCCATGTCCAACCGGGAGGAGACTTCGGGGCCACCCCAGGACACGCTGGAGGGATTACATCGCCCGGCTGGCCTGGGAACGCCTCAGGGTTCCCTCAGAAGAGCTGACAGAAGTGGCTGGGGAGAGGACTGTCTGGGCTTCTTTGCTGAGGCTGCTGCCCCCGCGACCCAGACCCGGATAAGCAGAGGACGAAGAGTACAAGTACCAAATCTTCAACCAAAGTCTTCACGGTTAATTCTCCTTACTCTTGTAATGTGGTAAATGAAATCTGACCCTTGCTGACATTTCTCTGTCCTGCTGCTGTTGTACAGAGCAAACACTTTCAATTTATAGCATCTGTTTTCAGACTAGTGATGTAATCGTGTAAACCCGAAAACCGTGTAACACCCTGTAACACCAACCACTGCAGCAAGCCTAGTCACCACAACCAAAAACTGAACCCATAATAAAGGTAGTATGGGTATGAAGCAGGTGTTGTATCATACCAGTTATTTTGCCACTAACATGGATGCACTGAAATTGCAGCAGCTCT